TGTGGCTCAAGCGGCTAAGCCACATATACCCGAGCTGGCGGCTTCGAATCCAGCCCGGGCGCACTAAACAACAATGGCTTCAAACAAAAAATAGCCGGGCATCATGGTGGGTGCCTGTAGTCCCAGCTACTTGGAAGGCAGAGGGAAGAGAACCGCTTGAGCCCAGGAGTTGGAGGTTGCTGTGAGCTATGATGCCAGAGCACTCTACCCAGGGCGACAGCTTGAGGCTCTGTCTCAAAAAAAAAAAAAATTTTTTTTTTCACGAATAAATGAATGCATAGCACTCTGGAAGGCTGAGGCGGGTGGGTCCCCTGAGCACCAAAGTTCAAGACCAGCCTGAGTAAGAGAGAGATCCCGTGTCTACTAAAAATAGAAAAACTACCCTGGTGCGATGGCGGGCGCCTGTAGTCCCAGCTAACTACCAGAGGCTGATATCAGAGGATCGCTTAAGCCCAAGACTTTGATGTTGCTGTGAGCTGTGATGACACCTCAGCACTCTAAGCAACAGAGTGAAACTCTATCTTAAAAAAACAAAAAGAATACGTAAATTGGGGTGAAAGCCTTGGAAGAGGGACGCTCGCAATTGGGGGCCACCCCGCGGCTTCCTGGGGCCTGGGGCAGCGGGCTTACATCCCGGCTTACAGAACATCCCTAAGGCTAGCGAGGTTCCAGGCGCTGAGACTCCTAGGTGCTGCGGCCGCTCCTCCACCAGCTAAGCTTCCGCAGCTCCTCCTTGGGTGGGCGTGTCGCACCGCCCAGCGGAAGCGAGGGCAATCCCTATGCTGGCCTGGCGGGGCGGGGCGGAGCCGCACTCCCGCCCGGCCTCTACTCACCTCATCCACAGGAGACGGAAGTCATAGCCCAGCTCTCGACTACCCTTAGAGCCGCACACTGAGAGCCGGACCCCCGGCCTGGGAGTACTCCACGGTGAGCGGCACCATGAAGCGTGCGGGGACCCTGCGTCTACTCTCGGACCTGAGCAACTTCAGCGGCGCGGCCAGGCTCCGGGAGTTGCTGGCCCGGGACCCAGCTGTCCGAGTCCGCTACAGCGCGGATGGCCGCCACCTGCTGCTGTTGCGACCCCCGGGGTCGCCGGCCCCGCAACTGCTGGTTGCGGTGCGTGGACACGGCGCGGAGCTGGAGCGTGCCTGGCCGTGCGGCCAGCCCTCACCGCTAGACGCCTTCTTCCTGCCATGGCCGGCGCGACCGGCGCTGGTCCTAGTGTGGGAGAGTGGCCTAGCAGAGGTGTGGGGCGCGGGGGTGGGGCCTAGCTGGCGGCTGCTGCAGAGCACTGAGCTGTGTCCTGGAGATGGAGCCCGTGTGGTGGCCGTCGCGGCGCCCCGAGGTCGCCTGGTGTGGTGCGAGGAGCGTCAGGTGGGTGCTGAGAGCCGGCTTGGGCAGCCTGCAGCAGCTTTCAGCCACTGCGTGTGCCTCCGGACCCTGGAGTCCAGTGGGGAGGCCAGCACCAATTTGGGCCGCACCCATGTCTTGCTGCATCACTGCCCCGCTTTTGGGCTGCTGGCTTCCCGCAAGGACCTCTTCCTGGTGCCCACTGCCACCACCTGGCCGGGTGTGGCCCACATTCTGCTCAGCTGGAGCCCAGCTAGAGGCAAAATGATGGTGGCTGCCCCATGTCTTGGCCTTTCTTACAGTAAAAGCCTGAATCCAGGACGAGGGGACACATGGGACTTCCGGACCCTGCTCCGAAGCCTTCCTGGGTTGTTATCCCCCAGAGAGCCATTGGCTGTACACACCTGGACCCCAACTCCCCAGGGCCTGCTCTTGCTTGACTTCAGGGGCACTGTGCACTTAGTGCAGTCCCATGGTGGTACCCGGGCTGTGGGCACTCTGCAGGAGGCACCTGTAGGCCTTCAAGGACCAGCAGCCCTAGGAACATTTCATGGCACTCTGGCATGTGTGCTGGGCTCTACCTTGGAACTGCTGGACATGGGCAGTGGACAGCTGCTGGAGAGGAAGGTCCTAAGTACAGACAGAGTATATTTGCTGGAACCCCCAGCCCCTGGCATGGAGGATGAGGAAGAGCTGGAGACTCGAGGGGGTCTTCGTTTGCTTTCAGCCTTAGGTCTGTTTTGTGTGGGCTGGGAAGCCTCACAGGGTGTTGAGCTGCCTTCAGCCCGGGACCTGGTGTTTGAGGAGGCCTGCGGATATTACCAGCGACGGAGCTTGCGAGGTGCCCAGCTCACCCCAGAGGAACTGAGACACAGCAGCACATTCCGGGCACCTCAAGCTCTAGCATCCATCCTCCAGGGCCACCTGCCCCCATCTACACTGTTGACCACACTGAGGTCTGAGCTTCGCGATTACCGAGGCTTAGAGCAGCTCAAGGCTCAGCTGGTGGCTGGGGATGATGAGGAGGCTGGCTGGACTGAGCTAGCAGAGCAGGAAGTGGATCGCCTGCTGAGGACCGAGTTGGTGGGAGACCAACTAGCCCAACTCAACACTGTTTTCCAAGCTCTTCCAACAGCAGCCTGGGGTGCCACCCTCAGGACCCTGCAGCTCCAGCCAGATGGGAATGGCAAGCTGAGGTCCCAAGCTCCACCAGAGGTGTGGAAGAAGGTGCTAGGGGGTACAACAGCTGGAAAGGAACCTCCCAATGGGATGCTGCCTCCCTTTGAACTCTTGTGCCAGTGCCTTTGCCAGTTGGAACCTCGATGGCTGCCACCCTTTGTGGAGCTAGCGCAGCAGCAAGGTGGGCTGGGCTGGGGCACTGGGAGCCCAGGGCTGCCCCTTTATCGCCGAGCCCTGGCAGTGCTAGGTGAAGAGGGGGCCAGGCCTGAGGCACTGGAACTAGAGCTGCTCTTGGGCAGTGGGCGACCCAAAGCTGTGCTTCAAGCTGTGGAGCAGCTGGTGCAAAAGGAGCAATGGGAGCGGGCTCTAGATGCTGGCCTGGCCTTTGGCCCCTCCAGTCCTCTGCTTCGGAGTGAGATTTTCAAATTGCTGCTGGCTGAGTTTGCCCAACATCGCCGGCTTGATGCTCACCTCCCCCTCCTTTGCCGCCTGTGTCCTCCAGAACTGGCTCCAGCTGAGATCCTGCTGTTACTGCGAACATACCTTCCAGATGAGGTGGGGCCCCCCACTCCATTCCCTGAGCCTGGGTCAGAAGCCCCTCTCACTGTGGGCTTGCTCAGAGCCCTGCTGGAGCAGACTGGAGCTCAAGGACGGCCTTCAGGCCCAGTTCTAAGTCTATATGAGGACGTGCTATGGGACCCAGACACTCCACCCCCTGCTCCACCTCGAGACCTTGTATGACTATCCTCCAGGTATCAGACCACTGAAGTATGGAGGCCTGGGCACAATCTACACAAGGCCTCTGTGTGACTGACACAAGAAATCATTTCTAGGACACAGTGATCAGGGAAGGGTGCCTAGGAGTTGGAGGGGACCATGGTGGGAACTGTGTATACAATTTCTTGTCTTCTCAAGCAGTCTTTAAGATCTGTATAGTGTGATTAAATGTATACGCAATTTATTATAAAGATGGGTGTTTTTATTTTATTATTATTTTTTTTAGAGACAGAGTCTCACTTTATTGCCCTAGGTAGAGTACCATGGTGTCACAGCTCACAGCAACCTCCAACTCCTAGGCTTAGGCGATTCTCTTGCCTCAGCCTCCCCAGTAGCTGGGACTACAGGCACCTGCCGCACGCCTGGCTATTTTTTACAGTTTGGCCAGGGCCAGGTTTGAACCCACCACCCTCGGTATATGGGGCCGGAGCCCTACCCACTGAGCCACAGGCGTTGCCCACCCACCTTTTTTTGTTGCAGTTATTGTTTAGCTGCCCTGGACTGGATTCGAACCCTCCAGCCTGGAGGGTGGCTGATGCCTTAACCACTGTGCTATGGGCACCAAGCTTTTATTTATTTATTTTTTTGAGACAGAGTCTCACTATGTCACCCTGGATAGAGTACAATAGCATCACAGCTCACAGCAACCTTAAACTCTTGGGCTTAAGCGAGTCTCTTGCCTCAGCCTCCCAAGTAGCTGGGACCACAGGCACTCGCCACAACACCTGGCTATTTTTTTTGTTGTAGTTGTCATTATTGTTTAGCAGACCCAGGCTGGGTTTAAACCCACCAGCCCTGGTGTATGTGGCCAGCACCCTAACCATACAGCTATGGACGCCAAGTGAAGATATGTGTTTTTAAACAGCTAAGGGTCGCAAAGGGTTTGGGTTATAAAAGGAGTGGTTGGATCTGGATTTTTTCTTTTTTTTGAGACAGGGTCTCACTCTGTTGCCCAGGCTAGAGTACAGTGAGTGTCATAGCTCATTGCAACCTCCAACTCATGGGCTCAAACAATCCTCCTGCCTCAACCTCCTAAGAAGCTGGAACTAGAGGCATGCATCACCACACCCAGCTGATTTTTTTGTTAGTTTGTAGAGACAGGGTCTCACTGTCATCCAGGCTGGTCTCAAACTTTTGGGCTCAAGTGATCTGCCCATCTTGGCCTTCCAAAGTGCTAGGATTACAACCACTATCCCTGACTTAGATTGGATCTTTCGCCTAAAGCACCCACTTCCAATCATGAAAATAATCAACATTGGCTCACTGCCTGTAGCCCAGCAGCTAGGGTGCCTGCCACGTACACCATGGCTGGGAGGTTCAAACCCAGGCTAGGCCTGCTAAACAATGACAACTATAACAATAACAACAACAACAAAAAATAGCCAGGTGTTGTGGCAGGTGCCTGTGGTC